TCGTCGCATTGTCTCTTCCGTAATCGTTCCCGGCCCGGTGTCAAGACAGAGCGAAGAAGACCGAGGGCGGGATCCGGCGCAAGTTGCTGGTACTGCGTGAGCCTGCACATAAGCGTGCCATCGCACGCCCCCCCCGCATTTGTGGCATTTGTTATGGTTGACCATCCTCAACGCCGCCTGCCGTGCCCTGATATAACCTCGCGTGACCCGTTTTAGAGAGTGCATTTGATGCACATTTACTTCAAGAAAAGAACTTTGCTTGTATTTTCTACAAGATTCATATAAATTCTTAAAATACATTAGGAGTCGGCAAAAAATGCATTTACTTAGTCTTTCTTTATCTAATGGGTTTTATACAGGCGACCGTAAAGAAGTGCATTAGAGACTGGCATCCTCTCATAACTGAACCCTCTTGTGATTAGCCTGTACGATGACAGGCTACCGTCGTTTCCGACGACGTCCACTACGAGCTTCAGCATGCTAAGACAAACGCGGTAACTCCCGCGGGAATATAATGATAGTAAACTTACAGCGAATCCAACCCATCCTCTGACCACTCCCGCACCTGCACTCGATGTCATGACAAAGTCAAGAAGACCGGAAATGGGGGAGGGGGCAGGCAGTTTGTGCTCCAATACTCCATTACGCGCCACAACAACACCACCTTGCTAAGGGCTCCAATTTACGTGGCAGTGTCATAAAGGCCAAATTAAGAAGGAGCCATTTCGGCCTGGCTCTAACTCCATCAGTCAGCCATTCCACACAACAAGACACACACTGGACTGACTGCGCGGACCAAGTTATCCCGTCAGCTGGCAACTCTCCAAGCCACGGCTTTTAGCACACCGTGATAGCTTCAGGCCTGCTTATAGTGAAGAAAGAAATGCGCCGAGTGTTGAACTCACACTCTCCCCCACAGGCCACCGCCTAGCTGATCAATCGCCTGGGGTGGGATGGGCGCATTGGCTGACAGGGCCGGAAGATGCGTTGGCAGCGCGGGCAGGTTGGGAGGACTTGGGCATTAACAACCTGCTTCTATTGGGTTTGAGACTTGCGAGCCGTCCTTTTCGCCTTTGCGACGGCAATCCGACTGGCTTCGTAGATTGCTGCGCCAGTTTTTACCGTCCTTCGCCAAGCAGATCGGTTCTTTGTGAGCTCCTCCCCAGTCGCCGTGTTGATGTGAAGGCGCTTCAGCGAGTTCTTCACTGTCCGTGTAGTGCCCCTTTTGTCCTCCTTTGCGGCTAGCACCCACAGCGACATCACCGTAAAACAGTCGTTTGGGTAATCGTTGGTCATCCACCCGTACTAGGTGGCCGCTCCAGCGCAGTTGTATCTGCCTGAACATGGCCTGGATGCTGAGAATTCCCGTTCTATCTGGGACTTCCGTGTCCGCGATCCTGTCCTACCATTTCAGTATTCGGTAGAGACAGCTGAGGTGTAAGTGGTTCAGCTTGCGAGCCCGTTTGGCTTAGACGGTCCAAGTCTCCGCTCCGTACAGGAGTGTCGTTAGGACGACGGTTGTCCTTCATTTTCGTGGACAGCTGTAAGCCACGACGGTTCCACACAGAGGCTCGAAGCCGGTCGAAGGCTTCTAGTTTACCGAACCCACCTAGCCAAATGTTCTGCCTGTTTTTTTCTTCTTCCTCCAGTCATACCCTATGGCCACTATCAGATATACCGAGCGGGTCCTGGTAGTTCGAGATGCATTAATTGACTAATGGAGTGCGGATTAAAGGCTTTGCTAAGGATGCGTAGAATTATTGACTTGATCACGTTAGCCTAGTCTTTCGCTGACCTTTAAGTGTTGATGCATTAATAACAGCTGTTTAAAGGCCCAGTTAGCTGAATAGGCAGGTTACAGAATCTGTCTTTTGGTGTAAAGCATACCAGAAAGGAAGGAGGCTAGTATAAGTTCCTGGTGCTCACTTGCCGTTTCAATGTCAACATATAAATAAAACCTTTGCTACCTTATCCCTCGCGGCTTCCTTTGATAATGAACTGCACCCCACAAAATTCTGTATTTCCAAGGTTCTTTGTTTGAAAAATGGCCACTCTCCAGCCACTAAATGATGGCGTAACTTACTTACTTAAATAAAACTTTCGGCTGATTAGTTTCATTTAAGCCCACAGACTACTGGTGAAGCTGGACCCGAGCTTCTGCTATGTTAATGTGGCGCCTCTCTGAAATTACCAACACTTTCGCCATACGTATATTGACAGGATTTCGAACAGTGCCCTTCAGAATACAGACAAGGCATTTTTTCCCTATCCGGAAAGATGCCACGGACTACAGAGTCCTAGTACCTATCGCAGAACAACAAATTAGTGCATACATTCGCAATTCCTGTTATCTGGAGGGTGAGTTGTTTTAATTTGATCTTCGAATTATCTGAAGAGGAGGATACCCACCGTAATCCGACGACAAAAAACCGAAGCTTCTTTGTTTTTCACAAAATGCCCCGTTCTCCTGAAGATTTAGGGTACGGTGAGTGAACTCTGGAGTCAGGCTTATTGATTTGGGTACCAAACTAAATCGCGATAGGCAAAGGGTGTAAGTGGTCAGAACCTCAGCGGCCTTTACGAATGATACTGCTGGAGGTCACTGTGCTCATGGATGCTTGATCAACTCATGATTATGCCAAATGTGATCATGAGAAGGGATTTGGGTTGTGTAGTTGAGTCGTGGCAGGTTATAAGTATCGCCCATGTTGCAGATGGCCTTGTGCTGACTTCCAGGGAGGTTAGGGTTTGGCTCAGTGTGGGGGTTAGTGTTACAGTTGAGACACGGGAATACGTGGTCCCTGAAATTTTGCGCAAGACCATCTGGAATTGCATCATGAATGCCTTCGATAGCAATTTTTGAATTTTCTACTTCCACATTTTAAATGATATGCTGGCTATCTTTACTTTATGAACTACGAAGTTTATCTTCCAGCAGAAGTCTTAGTACCTCTACCTCTGTTTTCTGCAGGAAATACTCCAGATCTCAGGTGCCACCCCGCCGCACGTCTCCGCTTGTGCACCTGACCACGAGCGGAGTACTCTCACTGAGAAACTAAAGCGAGATTTTTCCACTATCTTCTCGGCTGCAGACGAAATCATGAAGCGGATCTTATCAAACAAAAAGTCCACCGACGCTGATGACATGACTTCTCTTCTACAGGGTGTCTGTGACATGTTTGATGCAGCCATGGAGCCCAATGCATCGGAAGCTACCAAAATACGAAAGCTGAAAAGTTTAAGTCTATTGGAACCACCCTGTGTCGTCATTTCGGAGACAGGCCGCCATCTGCTCGTAAGTCAAAGACATCCAACAAGTGTGCGCGAATCATATCCCCTCATGTCGTGCAAAATCCGGGTTTCCCATAGTTTCTGAATTCGAAATTAGGTGTCTTAGTTCACCCCCTACGATGCACCCTTGCATTTTGTAAAATTTTTATAGATATATATTCGATTGACCCAATTTTGAAAAACTCGCGGCCTCGGTGGGAGTAACAAGTACAAGTACTCGGTGGGAGTAGAACCCACACAGCAGGGAAGGCTTTTGCGCAACCAACGCTCTACCGGTAAGCTATGTGCGCCGTGAATTTAATCCCGTTTGGATAGATTTTACCCGCTCAACTTGCTGCTTGCACGGAATCCACTAATACTGACGCGGTAAGCTGATTGCCAAACAGAATCTCCTAAGTAATACTATATATTTGTCAATTGGGGTCTACCACCACCGGGCTATTTTACTGCTGGATGGTCAATGACTACTTAATATTGAGACCCAAGGGTCTGCTTATTTTGCA